AGAAGCACTTCAGGACGCTGCAACAAAGACATACAACAATTTCAGTAGAGCTTTACATAAGGATTCTGCTCATGGTATTAGGGCCTAAGTCATCACTTTTCAAATTCTTCTACATTAGCATTCTTAGAAAAGTTTACAATTTTTATAGCTTTCATCCATGAAACCAACCATTGCATAGCTCTCATCCATGAAACCAACCATTTCCAGTTTATAAGACGAGTAACAATGTTATTTCACATGTCTAAGTTAATAAAGTTAGTTGCCTAAGTGGCTTGGCATCAGAAGTTATTTACTAGTTCCAAGGTACAGAAGACCTTATCATTCATTTTATGGCTAAGTTTGTACTGAATTTCCCTTATCAGCAGAGAAAGTGCATGATGTAAGATTCCACCTAACCCAGTTTGCTCAGTTAGAGAAATTGCAGTTGCACTGTTTAGCCAGCGGCAACTACTATCATAGTTTATGTTGCAGTTATTTACCACACAGATGCACTGAAAGGAGAAACCAATAGTATCTGGAGGGAAGAGATTTCTAATAGAAAAGTTCTCATAGTGGGAAGCTAAGAACCTGCTTAATATAGCCATATACATTACCTTGCCAGCAACTGGATATATTGGAATATCATGGAATGGTGAAATGTAGTGTCCTTTATCATTTTCTGAAAGAACAACATATTAAGCTAGTAAATAAAGATGCATTACTTAGCGCTAATGAAAACAATTTAACTATTATGGCTATAAATTTGTCTTTATTCAAATGCCTAGCTTAGAAGATGTTGACCATGTCCTGAAATAGTAACAGGGAAACTAATGTCAGAGATGTAGTGTTACTACAGGCAGGTCTACATTACATCCAGGATTGACGCTCTGAGATCGATCCACCGGAGGTCGATTTAGCGGGTCTAATGAAGACCCGCCAAAGCAACAGCAGATCGCCCTCCAGGCAACCCCTATACTCTACCCCGACAAGAAGAGTAAGGTAAGTCGACGGGAGAGTTTCTCCCATCGACCCCTCGCGGTGTAGACCCCATGGTAACTTGACCTAAGGTACACTGACTCCAGCTACATTATTCACATAGCTGGAGTTGCGTAGCGTAGGTCGACTTACCGCAGTAGCGTAGACATAGCTTAGTTACAGTTCCATTGCTGCAACATAGGTCTTATAAAACTCCCCATGTTTCCTCCAGAAATACAGCACAAGAGAAGACTTATTAAAAAACAGCCATCACTTGTTTGCAGAGCTCACCTTAATATTTGCACAAATAATATTGTAAAGGATTTTTTGTTTTTAAATAGAGGGTTGTGAATACATGAAGGAAGTAACAAGACATACCTTCTCCAAGTAAGGCATGATTATGCTGCTGTGTCTATCTCCCTAATCTCAGCGCAGTTTAAAAGAACCAACAGATAGAAACATTCTATTTCAAACTCTAAGGAGAAGTTGATATCATAGGTACATAATACCCTCAAGTAGTTAGACAAAGATCCCTGGGAATAATGGAAGTAGATTCTCTAATGTGTCACATTCTATGGGGGAAATGACATGGGACAACCTCCAATGACACCTATGGAGGTGACTGTCAAGATTATAAAAATATTGATAATTGTCAAACACTGGCTGGAAGAAGGACAGCAAATTACATCCAGATCTTATAGGAAGTGGTCTAGATTCACTTTAAGACCACCACAAGGTTTAATTAGCTTGCAGATATAATTTGTCTTGGAGCTGTATCCTAAGAGCTCCCCTAATAACTACATACAGAAGCCTTCTTAATAAGCAATACTTATACCCCTCCCAAGTGCTATAGATCACCCAGTAAATCAAAGTGGTTCCAATATGTATGGCACATGCAAAGGGCTTATTTGTTGAAGGCTACCAGCTAGGTAAGGTTGGCTAACCTCATTCATGAGTTACAATCATCAGACATTTCCACCCCCTTCTAGCACTGCTGCACACATTTTCCAGGGGAGGGTGGGGGGAGGGGAAACGTCCTCACCTGCTTACCAGGAATGAGTCTGAAGCTGTTTCCTGCCCCAGCTAGCAGATAACTGGACAGAGTATGAGTGGGAATGAAGCTAGAATCCTATGCGCAGCAAGCCCAGCACCCTTGCAGGATCTTTGCAAGACTATCCTGCCCTGGACTGGTAGTTACTAATTTAAAACACAGTCAGCGTGCTCAGTGAAAGTCGCTATTATCTTTGATGTTCGATAAGTTGAAACAAAATGGTCTGCAAAACTACAAAAATAAAGAATTAGTGAAGACCAGGACTGGCAAGTTCACTGTAGCCTGGTGTAGACATTCTGCTTTCTTTCACATTTTGGTACAGTTCATATTTAGAATTGCAGCTGATATTTAAAGCCACGATGGCAAGAGTGCTGCTGTTACAGCCTGCGTAGAACAGAACTTTGAGGGATCTGAGAATTAACAGTTTCAGTTTGTAGGTTTTCTGGTATTTTCTACAGGCCTACTTATTTCAGCATAAATGAGTTACTTTGCTAGTTGCCCTCAAGAGAGTTGTTTGGTTCCCCCTCAATAAAGCAAGACTTTGGAAATCTGATCATTCCCAGCAGACAATGTGAAACAGACAGCTATTTCTCCTGTTGACTGAGCAATACTCATTTTAACTCCCCACCCCATTTTCTCTCCTGCTCCTACTGCATGAGTCGGAAAGCATGGAAAGATTCTGTTATTCATACCTGTGTATTACCAATTAGTATCACCCAGAGATTTTATAATGTAATGGACAGTGTCTGCTTTTTCTCTGTGGAATAAATTTCAAATCCTAGCAGGTCAATATTAGATATTAACTCTTCCTACTAAACAATACAGTACTAAATTATCACTTTCCTAGAAAGACTGTATTGGATACAAAATGTTTCATAATCTCAGTTAAGACAGCCATTAGGAGATTAGTCACTTAAACGGCTAAATTAGAGAAGCCGGCTAGGATTCTTATGCTATCTCCCTTCAGAAAATTGAGTTGGGAACATTGTACTAAGTCAAGCATTTTCTTCTGCTGAGGTGCAACAGAGCAGGTCTATTATTTGTGGCCAGTTCAGTATCATGCCCTTTTACTCCTAACCATGGAAAGCGAGCTACTAAGGAAGCCAAACAGATGATGCAATACTCTGAGAGCCAATTTTGTTCTATCCTTCAGCCCCAGCACAAGTTCTTACTTGAGAGCTATGACAAGTTAGGAGTGGATACAGTTGGGAACTACTTCTCTCTCTGTAATCAGGCAGAAGATTTAGGGGATGCAGCCAGAGCAAGTTGATGGCATTATCAGAGGTGTCAGTTTGACATGTCTGGTCAAGAATAAGAGGAAGAGTTAAGTCGCCACTTCACTGAGGGAACAACTAGGTCTTGTGGGCTTCAACGAAGGATTTTGAAGAGCTGATAGGTGCATGATGAACAGTCTCAAGGACGTGGTCCTACATGCAGCTAGTTTCCCCTATGATCTTTCTGCTCTCCCATGCATTTAAATGTGGACGATACCTCCCTCCCTCCACATTTTCACCCCTTCTACGTTTAAAAAAAAAAAAAAAAGCAGCATAGGAGTAGAAGATTGGCCCCAGGCGAGTTGACTTTGGCAGGGCTGCTGCTCGAGACACGTAGCCACGCTTTCGTTGCTTCCCCGCACGACAGGTGAGCCCATTCCCACCAGCCCCTGCACCCGGCCAGTGCCAGGCGGAGCCCCGGGGCAGGGTGCCGCCTAGGCCAGCGCCCCAGGTTACCGCCCTGGACAGCCCGGCCAGGCTAAAGGCCGTTCCCCCGGGGACAGGGCTGGAAGGAGCAGGAAGCAGAGAAAAGCCCTTTACAGGATTATCTGGCGGCGGCGGCAGCAGGCACCTTGGCCGGCCCCACCCGCGCCACGCTCAGACTTTAACCCGCTCGGCAGCCGGGCCGGCGAGGGGCGGGGGTGCCAAGGCAGCTCCGCGCGGATCTGGTCAGCGGGGCCGGGCCCAGCCCCCCGGAGGCGAGGGGGCGACCCCAGGCCGGAGGCTGCCCCAAGCCGGGCGCTATGCCGCCTGGCCTCCCCCGGGGCGGGATCCCATCGCCCGGGCACCCCGCGCGGAGCGGGAGGGCCGCCGCGCACTCACTGAAGAAGACCCGGTACTCCAGGCTGTTGGGGGTGGCGCGCTCCTCCAGGCTGTAGCTGGCCATGGTGCCACCGGCAGCGAACGAGACAAACTGACACACACCGCACCGGCTCCTTCACCAGGGACGCTAGCACTGCCGGGCACAGCACTGCGCAGGCGCCAGGCCTCTCCCCCCCTCTTGCGCCCCGCCCAGCCAGCCCTCAGGAACAGGATTGCGCAGGCGCATGGCCATGTGGCCCTCGGACGGCCTCAGTGCAGAGAACAACGCTGCGCAAGCGCATTCTCACGCCTCGCCTACTTCGAGATAGTGGCCCATTAGCGCACGAGTTGTGCGCATGCGCGCTCTTCTCGGCCTCGCTCGAGCGGGCTGTCAAGAGCACACGTGGCTTTCCCCGCAGTGCTCGGCCCGCTTTCTTTCCTCGGCCGGCGGCGCGGTCACCGAGGCTGGCTGCGTACAGAGAGTAAATCCCTATAGCGTAGCGACCGCTCCCCTCCGTCCCTGCCCTGGGACCTCCCCGCACCCCCTGCGCCCCCAGCTGGTGCGGCGAGAGCTCCGCCTCCCTCTCCTTTCATCGCTGTGGGCAGGCCCCGCTCTGGAGGAGGGGCAGGAATATTTGGCACCCCGAAAAGGTGATTCCCCCTCCGGGGTCCAGGTGGCGCGTGCCGCTGCGTCCCAAAGCCCGCTGCATATTGACTAGTCTGGGGCTGCCTTTTGGTCTGTAGTTAACGTGGATGTGCGGCCCGGCCCTGCCCCCAGAAGTCAGCGCAGTTGGGTTCTAGGGGATCCGGCTCAACCCTCTTCTAACTCTGCCCTCTCCATATCAGGGCCAAAGGATTTGCGCAGGGCCCTGCAGCCCTTATGGCACAAGCATTGTCACAATAAACGTTAACAAAAGCCAGAAGAGCGATGTTTTATTTCTGTAACTCGTGGCCAGTGATACAGTAATGTCATTAATACCATTTTGTACAGCATGGAGAGTGGTTACTAAACACCAAATAACAATTCTGATACAGGAGGGCTCTATTCACAGTTACTAGAGGCAAGAGGTAGTGAATACTGATATATTAAACAACCAGAAGTACTTGTGGCACCTTAGAGACTAACAAATTTATTTGGGCATAAGCTTTTGTGGGCTAAAACCCACTAATTGGTTAGTCTCTAAGGTGCCACAAGTACTCCTTTTCTTTTTATGGTGATTAGGGCTTTCCTCAGGGTTAGTTTCTGTCTGAAGGGGTAAACAATGCAACGAAACCTATGAGAGGAGGAAAAAGAGTATTGCTTTTAAGTTCTGCTGAGGTGCTTACTCTATGTACCAAGGGACATTTATAGAGGCCTTTTCTGACTTTTCATGCAGAAGATCAAGATTTGAGTCCTCCCATCCTGACTTCTGTCCCTGTAAAGAGGTACATTCATACTGGAGCAAAAATGATTTCAAACCAATAATTGTACAAAATGCAGTTTACTTGATGAGTCATTTTCCTCATCATCAGACATCAGCCTGCATTGTGGAGCTAAGTCATTGCACAATACAGAATAGTGAGAAGTGTAGCGGAAGGATGCTGTAGTGATTAGGTCCTACAACACAGGCTGATGTCATAGTGTATGTGAATGTACTGACCTGGACCACAAATAAACTCCTACTGAGTATTAAAGAGCAGGGCTATGTTCACATGTCACCGTGAAGAAATATAAACCCAAGAAAAAACCAAAGAAATTACAGTTAATTGCTTTAGTGGAACCCCCACCCCCAGCAATTCATGGTTCAATCTCTCCCTTTTGACATTTACAAGTGCAAATTGCTTATGGAATGTAATGAAAACAAAGATGATGTAATATGACTCGTTAAAAGTTAAAAGAATAAATGGACACAAATCAGATGTCAAGAATTCTAACATTCATAAACCAGTCGGAGAACACTTCAATCTCTCTGGTCACGCAATCACAGACATGAAGGTCGCTATCTTAAAACAAAAAACTTCAAATCCAGACTCCAGCGAGAAACTGCTGAATTGGAATTCATTTGCAAATTGGATACTATTAATTTAGGCTTAAATAGAGACTGGGAGTGGCTAAGTCATTATGCAAGGTAGCCTGTTTCCTCTTGTTTTTTCCTACCCCCCCCCCCCAGATGTTCTGGTTTAACTTGGATTTAAACCTGGAGAATGGTCAGTTTAGATGAGCTATTACCAGCAGGAGAGTGAGTTTGTGTGTGTATGGGGGTGGGGGGGATGTGAGAAAACCTGGATCTATGCAGGAAATAGCCCGACTTGATTATGTAAAGAGTTGTCACTTTGGATGGGCTAGCACCAGCAGGAGAGTGAATTTGTGTGGGGGGGTGGAGGGTGAGAAAACCTGGATTTGTGCTGGAAATGGCCCACCTGTTGATCACTTTAGATAAGCTATTACCAGCAGGACAGTGGGGTGGGAGGAGGTATTGTTTCATGATTTCTGTGTGTATATAAAGTCTGCTGCAGTTTCCACGGTAAACATCTGATGAAGTGAGCTTTAGCTCACGAAAGCTCATGCTCAAATAAATTGGTTAGTCTCTAAGGTGCCACAAGTACTCCTTTTCTTTTTGCGAATACAGACTAACACGGCTGTTCCTCTGAAACCTAAAAAAAAAGTGATTTTTTTTAAACAAAAAGTTTGATGTTTTATTCCTTTACATGGCCTAAAACATCATGCAATGAAATGTTTTAAATGGGCATTGATGTTTTAGGAATCAGCACACTGAACAAGGTGCTGAAGTTCCCTGTAGCCTCACCTAGAATCAGCGGTACATTTTCTATTATATGCATGATTTTTTGAAATATTTTAAGCAGTCTGGACCTGATTCTCCCTTACCTTGCCCATTGCACAGTCATTTATGATCCTGTAAAGTGAATACTGAACACTGCCAAGTCAGAATTTTCCACTCACACTGGTCTGGGCAGAAAGATGCTGTAGCAATCAGTTGCTGTAAGGGACGATCTCATGGTGTTCCTATGTCTGCTTTTTCATATAGGTGCCATCTTGAAAGAGGAGAACTGGAAGATTCTTCTAATTTTTGGTTCTCGGAATCCTAGCTGACAAAGTGTGGTGACACTACAAGGTGACATCAATGTGTGTTCTAACGTTACCATGTGACATAATGTGATGATGGCAATTTGGAGGAAAAAAGCAAAAAACTCAGTGATGAACATTTGGGTTTTCCTATGTTCTGTAAAGATAGATCTCTCAATCAGGAAACTGACTGGAAAAAGGAAAGATGATCTAGGTCGCGCCTATCTAAATAAGAATGTTGGCAGATGCATTGTCTCGTCTTACCCAGAATAATGAAGAAGGGATGGACAAGAAAAATATAAACTGATATTTTTCAGCCTACCAACACTACGTAATCTTGTGAGCATTCATTTGTCTGCTATGCTTGGGGGTATCTATGTTATAACACATTCTTTCCTCAACTGAATGGCCAATGTGATAACATCGTTCCTAAAAGTGATTATAAATGTTTTTTCTGCCCATATGTGAAATAAAGTGCCATAACAGACTCCCTTACCCATGGCAGACAACTGTTTGCACAAATTCTTTTTTTAGTGTAGACGAGCCCCTACTCTGCACACATTGACCAGCAGAGGATACTATACCTTGTATGGCACAGAAAGGCTACATAAAATCATAGAAGTGTTGGGCTGGAAGGGATCTCAAGAGGTCATGTAGTCCAGTCCCCTGCACTGAAGGCAGGACATGCCCACTAATGGATTCATTTGCAGAGAGCATTCAGCTGTGGCACAAGGAACCCATCCTCGGTATTTCCTACATCTGGTATCGGGGCATTTTAGATATTGCCTTTCCAATGGTTACTGACACAAAGAGGAAAGGACTTTGTTTATTAACACAATGTAATCTGTTGTCCAGAAAAAGTGATGTTACAACATTTTTCAGATTGTATCTCAGACACCAAGGCCTGGACTGTAATACAGTCACAGCTGTGTTGGGGAAACCATTTACCCACACAGCTGTGTCACAAGTGTTTTGTAATGTGGCATGCTTTTGTAAGTGTGGATCAGACCTAACAGTCTTATAGTCACATTAAGGGTTAACATAAATGGTCTTTAGAACACAGTTAGCTAAAAGTTCAGGACACAGCTGTGCTATAATGGGTATCTTAAAACAACTGTAACTGCAGTGTAGCTGGGGCCAAAAATTGTAATTACAGGGAAGCACCTAGAGGACCTCCACACTTGTATTTTCTAAAGGAAGGGAGCTGAACATATCTAACTGAAACTCCTTGCTGGCTCTGTTTGTCAGGCAAGTGTTCTTTGTCTCTTCAGCTAAACTAACACTATTGATAGATCAAGTCTTTTATGCATTTCCCACAACCTCTTTCTTGCACCCACTCATCCACCTAAAGATCAAAGGCATTGTAACATATTTTGTCTTACTTAATTTTGAACATGTTTAAACAGCTGGTTTGCTTTAATGGGTAACATTCTGTTGGGATGCTGTTTGCCCTCCATCTGAGCTCTAACAGAATAAAACATCTGCCACAGATAGAAGGATGTTTTTTGAGTCACAACATCAGTTTTCAGTTGCTGAGTCACAGATTTTGCTGCATTTAAAAAATACAGATGAGAGAACCCATTTTATTTTAGGGGTGAGTATTATTGTGCCTTTTGTTAGCCGCTCACTGGGAAATGTTAGTCTGAGTAATGAGCTATGTCAGAACTGTATCTCAAACTCTCTCACACAGAGCTCTGAGTTACTCACTGGGAGCTATTTATACAATTTCAGAGAAAGTAGGAGGACAATCCATATGCTTTCTACCAATACCATTGAGAACTGAATTCCATACCTATAGTAGAAGAAAGGCAGTTCACTTTTTATGATGACCTACAACCATTATGTAGGCATGGACCTCTTCTGTCCTAACATGTTACCACACTTTATTTACATGGCTACTGTGATGAAATATGAATTTTTGCCATTTTAAAGGAATCCTATGTGTGCCTCAGTTTCCCCTATGTGCTGTAGTGTTGTCCAGGGGATAGAAAGGGTGGTTTGCTCTCTGCAAAGACTCAGCTATGAATGGTGCCCAGCTGTCTGGGGTTTAGGCTCCATATCAATGGAGCTTTTGAGAAGACAATGGCGAATCCAATCACTGGGACTTTGATATCTAGCAACCAACAATCATGGATGGCACATCTCTCTGCAGGAAGCCAAGCAGTGTTTGTCCTGCTGGAGAACAAAGGACTGGGGAGGTGTTGGGAGAGCGGTTAAGGATTGGCTGCTGGAGGAGTCAAGGACACATGTGAACTGGGACGAATGGAGGTCAGAAGGACAGGACTTTGGATTCTGTGCTGACCAGGATGGACTCTGCTGTAATTTTCTTTTCTCTGTGCTAACCAAGGACTTCCTATGCTGTGTTCCAGTTGACTAATAAACTGGTCCGTTTTATAATGCTAGCTGAGTGTTACTGCAAATGCTGATGGAGAAGGTGCTCCCTAAGGATTGTGCAAGTCTCCCTCGTGGTCTTTCCTTGTTGGACTTGCTGAGTGGAGTTCACAGTGTGAAGCGGGGGTGCTGAAAGACCAGAGGTCCCGCCTAAGGAGGTAGTGAAGCTGTGTGGCTCACCTTGGAGGAAGAGTGAGGCACCTAGGGGGGCTGGCACACTGAAGGGTTCCTTCCAGAGACTGTTCCTTCCAAAGCTGGAGCCATAGCACCAATCCTGTGGATCCATGACAGTTACCTTTCTAGCTTCCCGGCTGCCCATTGCACACATCTTGGACTCACATGCCAATATATGGTAGGCCTGAATCTCTTCTTTCCTTTTTGTCTTCCTCTTCAATTTTCTTTCTCTCTCCACCATCACACACATTTTCTGTTGTATCTCCTGGATCCCAAGGGAATGGGGTGAGGGACTGATGGAACACAAACAGCACTCAGCCTGTATGTTCTAGGGGAGGAAAACAGGTACCGTGAAGATGCAGTATCCTGCTACCAGATGGGGCTTCCCAGAGAAACAGGACTGAAATGACCACAAACCTTGCTCTGTGCATCCGATGAAGTGAGCTGTAGCTTACGAAAGCTTATGCTCAAATAAATTGGTTAGTCTCTAAGGTGCCACTAGTACTCCTTTTCTTTTTGCAAAACCTTGCTCTGTTTTCAGCAGGCAAATGGCTAGAACGAGAGTACTGTGGACACTACCTTTCCACTGCAATGGCCACCAGAGTGAAAACTGAAGAGGAGACAGACATCTCCTGCACCAGTCCACTCATTTTACACATGATGTTGTCAAGTGGCCAACCTGGAATTACACAGATAGCATCATGGGGACACATTCCTTAAGGGCCTAGACCACCAGAAACCCACTATGCAGAATAAGCTGCATTCACCTAGGGTTGTGCAGAGCTGCCAAACCTAAGCCTTGTGAACAGGCTGATAAACTGCCGGTCATAAAACATGACTTTCAAGGATTTGTGATCTGTCTGATCTAAATTGCACTGAGCTGGCGCTTGGCAGTTGAGTAATTTTCTTTTCTAAAAGAAAAAAAACAGAGTAAATCCAATTTTCTTCCATACAATGTGGGTGATGCCTAATTCACAAGCCTGAGGATACCCCATTTAACCCTCAGTTTCTACCTTGCATTTTGGTCGCAATCTTTCTGACTGAGGTCTGGACCAAACCCTGTAAACCATCAATGCTGCCACTAAATGCAGTTAGAGAACTGTGCAGTTTTCACAGCTATTAAAATTTTTACAGGTGTTCAGCAATCCCCTGCAGATATATTCCAAAGCCTGTAAATGTACCAGTTTTAGCTTGATTTCAGCATGCATTCAGCAATTTCCTCTAGATGTACCCATTGGTCATGTGATTACAAATCAATTTCTGAATTGGTACTAGGCTTGTGGTTTGTTATCACACTAACATGTCCTTTAGTAATGTAGTGACTTTTTAAAAAGGTGTGGATAACTCTGGGCCAGCATGAGGTGAGGATGATACTAAGCCATACTCCAGTCCATGACATTCTGCATAATTACATATTCTTTAAAGTGTACCACATTCTTCCAAGACCTAGTGAATAGCCAGACATAAATATCATCCCTGGTCATCCTCTTTTAGAGTTGTATTGAATATTTCTAACATTAATAACCAGATTTCCATTTTTGTGCAGCATCTGCACAGGCACTTAGCTAATAGTCTAACTCAATATTTATTACAATGTGGTTCTTCTATGAAACATGACTTGTAGGGCTTTCTTTTCTTGCTCACTATTTCCAAGTCAAATGGGCTCAGTATACAAATAAAAAAAGATATTTTTTCTAACTGCCAGCTCTGTAAATGAAACATAGGATATAAAAGCCAAGCTGGACTTCTTTGGCTTGTACATGATACTCAATAAAGGTCCTGCAGTCGGAACTTAGTTAACAGTTCTGGTGATGATTTACATGATTATCCAGTTCCCTAAACCTGTGGTGAATCTTCAGGGTGCTCAGGAGTTAAAAGGAGAAAAATAAAATTTTAGTTACCAAAATCAGCAGCTATGACTGAATAAATGCAGGGAGCAGATTGGCTGAGTAAGAAGGGCGATTTTTTTGCGTTGTCCCTTGCCAGAGTAAGTTTGCACTTTAAGTACAAAATAACTATATAAAAGCAATGTTAAGGTTATTTTTTGTGTCAAAATATGTAAAGAAATGCAAAAATTAAAGGTTTGTTTTTTACTCTGAGAAGTGGCTGTATAAAAGTGACACCTTCTGATAAATCACTTTGGGTCCTTTGTGTATTCAGAGTCAGATCTGCTTACCTCAATGACAAAAATACATGTGATTCTTTTTCCTCCTGTTAGCATTGCAGATATAACACAGCTAAGTTGGAGTGAACCTGATCCTATTCTATCTTGTGTAACCTCAGCAGATTTGTTTGCAAGGCAAAAGGGTTGTACAGAGGTAAATAAGAGTATAATCTGAAGACACTAGAGTTGCATAGGACCTAATTTGGCCAGCAAGAACCTTAAGGTTATTACTCTTCAGATAGAAAGAACCCAGTCTAAATATCAGACCCAGATTGAGTTTTCAGGACTGGCAGATAGAAAAACATCTTTTTTACTTGTTAATTGAGCACATTTGGTAATCACTGAGACACAATAAGGATGGAACCCCACAATGGCATTTTTACAGAATCGCTTTTCAAAGTAGAAAAAACGGTTACCTACCTTTCGTAACTGTTGTTCTTCGAGAAGTGTTGCTCATGTCCATTCCATTTTAGGTGTGCACTTGCCCACGTGCGCAGTTGTAGGACATTTCTACCTTAACGGTATCCATAGTGCTGGCTATGGCGCCCCTGGAGTTACACTCCCATGCAACGGTATATCAGGCATTGCCAACCCTGCACCCTCTCAGTTCCTTCTTGCTGGTAACTCCAACAAGGGGTAGGAGGGTGGAAAATGGAATGGACATGAGCAACACATCTCAAAGAACAACAGTTGCGAAAGGTAGATAACCTTTTTTTCTTCTTTGAGTCCTTGCTCATGTCAATTCCATTCTAGGTAGGCTCAGAGTTCACAGCTTAGCAGCTTGCAGTACTGCCCTACCGAAGCCAGCATTGTCCCAGGCCTGCTGGGTTAACGCATAGTGGGACACAAAGGTATGGACAGATGACCAGGTGGCTGCTCTGCAGATGTCCTGAATAGACACCTGGGCCAGAAAAGCTGCCGAGGAGGCCTGCGCTCTGGTACAGTGGGCGGTGATGATCGCCAGAGGTGGCATTTTCGTTTGGTCATAGCAGAAGTGAATGCAGGCCGTGATCCAAGAAGAAATTCTTTGAGTGGATACAGGGCAACCTTTCGTCCTGTCGGCCACGGTGACGAATAATTGTGTCAACTTATGGAACAGCCTGGTTCTGTCAATATAGAAGGCCAGAGCCCTCTGGACGTCCAAGGCATGTAACCTATGCTCCTCCTCCGATTTATGCAGCTTTGGAAAGAAGACTAGTAAGTAAATGTCCTGACTCGAATGAAACTGAGAGATGACTTCGGAAAGAAATGCTGGGCCTGGTCTGAGCTGGACCTTGTCCTTGTAGAAGACCGTGTATGGCGGCTCCAAGAGGAGTGCCTGAATTTCGGGTACTCGGCAGGCCGACATCACTGCAACTAGGAACGCGACCTTCCAGGAAAGGAGAAGGAGGGAGCAAAAAGCCAGAGACTCAAAGGGGGACCCGTGAGCTGCGTCAGCCCCAGATTCAAATCCCACGGCAGGACTGGATCTCTGACTTTTGGGTAGAGGTGGTCTAGGCCCTTAAGGAATCTGGCTATGATGTCCTGAGCAAAAACCAACCTGCCCTCAAAGGGTGGGTGGAAGGCTGAGATGGCCACTAGATGGACCTTGATGGATGAAAGGGACAAGCCCTGGAGCTTGAGATTCAGGAGTTAGTCCAGAATAAGATCCAGAGAAGCCCATTCGGGATGGACACCTTTGTCCACGATCCAGCAGGTGAACCGTTTCCACTTTGCCAGGTAAGTCGCTCTGGTGGAGGGCTTCCTACTTCCCAGCAGGACGCGCTAAACCTCAGTCGAGCACTGCTGCTCCTGCGAGTTTAGCCCCTCAGCAGCCAGGCTGTCAGATGTAGCGTCAGATGATGGAAATATGGAAGTAAGCGTCCTTTAAAATGAGGGCAGCATACCAGTCTCCCAGATCCAGGGAAGTGACAATGGAGGCCAGGATGACCACGTGGAACTTCAACTTCTGGAGTGACTCGCTGAGGCGACGCAGGTCTAGGATGGGTCTGAGGTCCCCTTTTGCCTTTGGAATTAGGAAGTAGCAGGAGTAGAATCCTCTGCCTTCCATGTTCTGAGGAACCTTTTCCACAGCCCCCAGGCAAAGGAGGTTTTCAACCTCCTGAACGAGGAGTTGCTTGTGAAAAGGGTCCCTTAAGAGGGACGGGGAAGGGGGGTGGGAGGGGTGGTTGACTGTAAACTGCAGGGTGTAGCCCGAATAAATGGTATCTAGCACCCAGCGGTCCGAGGTGACACAGGACCAGGCCGACTGGAAAGGACGGAAGTGATTGAGGAAAGGGAGGGTTGAATCCAGTACATTGGCTGCGGCGCCATCCTCGAGCGCACCCTCAAAGTGACTGCTTCTGGCCTCCCTGACTTCTGGGAGGGTCAAGTTGAGCAGCCAGACAGGAAGAGGACTGGTAGCATCTCTTAGGCCCTTTGTCCTTGTTCTTCCTCTGTAGGGGCCAGACCTGGGAGCCCCCCAGGACTTAGACTGTGTGGGGGGAGGAGGTGGAGGTGGAGGAATGGCTTCCTGGACTGCTGCGGGGTGTGCAGACCCAGGGAATGGAGGGTGGCTCAGGAGTCCTTGAGCCCATGGAGCCTAGAGTCAGTTAGCTCAGAAAAGAGCCCTGAACCTTCAAATGGCAGGTCCTGTATTGTGGTCTGCATCTCCTGAGACAGCCAAGAAGCCTGCAACCAGGAGCTGTGTCACATGGCTACCGCTGACAGGACCACCCTGATAGCCAAGTCTGTCACATCCCAGGCCATTTGGAGGACTCCGCGGGCCACCACCGAACCTGACCACTGCCCCTCCGGTGACCACAGTGGGGCTATCAAGAACTGAGTCTGCCTACTGACTCTGGTAGGTGAATGGCGGGGCGACGGGGAATAGTGCCGCCTGCTGGAGGAGCAGTACTGGGGGAAGCGTGACCGACGTTGAGACCACGAGCGAGCCCTCCAGGATGGGGACCGATGATGAGGAGACCTTCTGGGAGAGGGTGTCTAGGCAACCTATGGCCAGACAGTCGTTGGTACCAGGGGCGGTGCCATGAGTCTAGTCCCCTGCCTAGTAGGAGGGGACCTCAATGGAGATCTTGGCTGTCCGGCTGGCAAGCTAGGATGCGGTGCTGGGTCCTGAGGCCACAGCAAGGGGGACTTGCGTCTGCGATCCGGCGAACTGGGGTGTTTTGCCAGTTTATGCTGCAGCACCCTGGTGGCCTTCCCCTTTGGTGCCACAAGCGGAGCTGTGTTGGTCACCTGGCGTGACACCTGCGGAGTCAGTCGGCCTTGCTCCTTGGCCGCCGAGACCGTTTCGGGCACTGCGGGCCTCATCATAGGCTGGGAACCCTTGCCACTGTCTGGGGTGTGGAGTGGGTCCTTGGCGGGGCTGGTGGGTTCAACCTCTGCGGTACCCCGTGACTGTCCGTAGCAGGTGCATGGCCTGACAGAGGTCCTTTGCCTGATGCGCCTCTGTCCTTCAGTACCGAGGGGCTTCGTTTCTTGAGCTTCTTCTTCGGCACTGGTGAGACAGAGCG